TTCAAAGCAAAGGTGCTTCACAGTGAGAGAATCTGGGAGTAGGACTCTACTGAAAGCACGAACCCCAGTGGCCTTGACCACATTTCTGTAATTAATTCTGGCTCAGGTTTGCTTCTGACGGATGGAGAAAGTGATTTTTGTCATCACCCTTGCAAGCTTTTCCACATGGAATGCTAACATCTTGGTTTTGCCTCTCCTAGGGGAATGTGACCCTGAAGGAGCTGAATGCCCGCCCCATGGAAGTGTTCATGTGCAGTGTGCTCAAGAGGCAAGGATACGGCGAGGGCTTCCGCTGGCTCTCCCAGTATATTGACTGATGTTTGGACAGTGAAAATAAAAGAGTTTTACTTCTCTGGACTGATCCTATTCACAGCTTCCTCATGAACTTTTCTAATAGAACAAGGAAAGCTCTCCGACCGTGTCTGGCGTTGAGAAGCCAAGAGTCTGTCTGCTCTCTCATCGCCCAGTGGTGACATGTGCTCTTCTCCACACTGTTGGGAGGTACTGCTGCCCCATGTGCTGGTGCAGCTCAGCACCCCGGGACTTGGAGGTGGCAGGATTTGTCGAGTAGAGCTGTGTGCCATCACGGGCCACCTGGAAAGAAAAACACGTCTCACCACTGTGGTTGATTTCAAAAGAAAGTGATTCTATTTTTTAAAGAAAGTGTTGTTAATGTAATTGGTGACCCTCCTCATAACTTTTTTAAGTTCACAATATACTTGGTCCAGAGTTTTTTTTTTTTTTTAATCTAGTGAATGGCATTTAGACATTTCATAAAATTATGCACAGATACACGTTGGGAGTCCAGAGCTCAGTTCAGTGAGCAGCAGGCTGGTGAGAGAGGCTCCCCGTCTCCCTGGCTGCCTTTGGTAGGTGGCACCACCCTGTGCACAGAGCACTCGGAAAGAGCAGAACTCCAGCCTTGCAGCTGAGGCTGGTTTCCACTGTGGTGGGCTCCGGTCATGTCTCATCCCAGCATGGATAGTGGATGGGTCACTGCGGAGGAGTTAGTTCTAGTGTGGGTTATTGTTACTGTCTTTACTCAGTAAGTTACCAATTTCAGCCAGTCTTTGCTTTTATGCAGTTTTAAAATTTCGTTTCTTTCTGTAGCACCTTTTTCATTTTCAGTTGTAAAAAGTGACTTTCACCTCATGAAAGATTTGAGAACATTTCCCCCTCAGCCATTTTTGCAAATTCTAGGGGACATTTTTTTCTCAATAGGAGAGTCACACAGGACACAGATAACAGCTTAAGGACTCTTAATTCTGTGAGTTGAGAACTTCGACATCTGATACTATAGCATTTGTTTGAATCCAGGAAAGATTTACTCCACTTGCAGAGTTTGGTTTCTTTATTGGACTCTTCATGAACTCTGTTTTTTTGTATTGGTTATCAGGTTTATTTTTGGTGTTAAAGGTTATCATCTGTAACTTTTCCATATTTTGGGGGTGGGTGGGTGGGTGGGAAGTGTTATGAAATTGTCTTTCTCCAGGCCAGAAATAACCTGGGGAAATTCTAATCCAAGAACTGTGTGTTGAGCTGTTCCTTTTGAGCCAGCATCACTTGTCAGTTAGCACCTGGTATAAAAGTCTCAGCGTCCCCAGCGGTGTGATGAGGGTTATTTTTATGGCATTCCATTTTCCTAATGTCATGTGTGAAATTGGATTTTCATGATCTTAACCAATGTTTTACCATTGTAGTAAAGGATGAAGGGATAAGAGATGGTCTTCATGTGGAAATATATCTTCTTTAATGAAAAATTAGAGGTATTTTTCTCAGAACTGAAAATTGTGATGTTGAGGCTTATTTGCCGAGGACTGAACTAAAGTCAGTGGATTCTTGCTTTTAATGTGAGAGCATGGAAAGTGTGGATAACACATTCCTGGGGTGAGAATATTTTTCTTTAGTTGGATGTCGCATCGTTAGTCTTTAGTACTGACCTGTTGGGAAAGCATAACTTTTTCACAGCTCGGTACCAAATGCAGAGGCTCAATGAAGCATAAAGCTGGGAAGAACAAGTCTTTCATTTATTAGCAAGCATAGCTGGTTTGGAAAGAGGTTAAAGCCTTAAGTGAACAAATCTAGCTAATGGTGAATGAACTAGGTAGTTAAATTGCATACTTTTGATTTCCTTTGGCTAAAGGTAACCCATACTTCTCTATCCAGAGATATGAGAGGTGTGATTGCTTCAGTGTTAGTTTTCTTATTATTTTTTTTTTTCTATTTGTCCCTAGTCAATTTTTAGCAAGCTAGAAAACTATGGATTCTACACAGGGCAGCTCTTTGTGAAAGTGGTTTATTTTGGCCACCGGAGAAAGAGTTGGGATTGAAAAATCAAGTGGCACCTGTCTGTTTCTTCCCCCACAGAAAACACAGTTCCTATAATAAAATAGAGGAAGGAAGATGCTGTGAGGAGCTTGGCTCCTAACAGTTAGGATCAGAGCCTTGTACAAGAACTCCCGTGAATTGAGACTTTTCATTCTGTTTTATCAGAGTGCGTATATGTCCTATTTCAGGAAAAGTAAAACAGTCATTTACAAAAGAGAGTCAATCTGTATCTTAAGCGTTTTAATAAAAAGTTAAAACAAGTTTGCTATCTCGCTCCTTTTTGGCATTGGCTTGTTCTGAGTATGAAAATACAACAGATAAAGAGAGACAAATTTTGCTATGAGGGGATGCAGGGTGTGGGTGTGTAGAAAGACCAGGGTAGTTTACACATTCCACTACAAGTAATAAATTTAGTACTGTTTGAGAGTCTTGCAACAAATGGTGGGCCCAGGATTGGTGGTTATTTCTGCAACAGGATGGACATGGCAGACTTTTTGTACAGAATCTCATATATTAACACGCTAGTAGGGGCTGGGTTCAGTTTAGCTGGTTACATCATTTGATATAAAATTGGAGAGATTCAGTTAAATGCTACATTTTGCAAAATAGGAAAAGTAATGAAACCTATGCTTGAGCATTTACTAGGCTTGTAGGAAGCTTTGCTTTTAAAAAACCCAAATAAGGTTCTAAAATTTAAATACTGGAATAAAATAGAGTGGGAAGCAAAATGCAGCAGGTTGTTTTTGACAGTATTAAATTACTGGAGACATCTTGAGCTTGAAACATACTGTGAATTGATGGCATGGGTTTTACATACATACGAATTTATTTGTGCTACTTGAGTCAGAGCATGAAAATTAAAGGCTGAGTCAATGAACCCAGCAGTTGGGGGGTCAGGACTCTACTGTGATGTGTCGTAAATAGGGAAAAACCTGATGCAAACAGTTCATGCTGGAGCTTGAGGGTCATTAAGGGAGAATCACTGGACTCGAGAGAGAAACACTTAATTGCTGGGAAGTTGGATAGTCAGATTTTACTGTGATCAAGCCATCTTCTGTGTCACAGAACTAAAAGACAGTACCTGCTACGGGAAAACTGATTTCAGTCCTGCCTCATACTATAATGGATCATTTCCCTTTCTCAAACAGGTTTGTGTGACTGGAAATACTGAACATTACCCTGTATGTGGTGCAGATAAAACAAAGCAGCATTAATTTATTAAAAAATTGATTAGAAAGGTTATATAATGTAGTAATTGAATGTTTTTCATTAATGCTGACATAAATATATACTAATATAATTCATTAAAATTAATGTGTACTTTAGTTGATAGTGTGATAAACAGACCTTCACAAAATGCTTAGCTTGTGGTGTCTGCTTCAGGGATATCCAAAACACACTTGTTCATATTCCTCTGCCCTCAGGGTGACTTCACTGGGATGGCTTGTGGTCTCGATCTGGCGTGCTGCCTGTTGTCTGACCTGTGAGGGAAAAACAGATGCAATTTTGTGACATGCTACAGTTACAAAGAATTCAAACTCTTTGAATTAAATTTTATTAGAACACAGCCATCCCACTCCTTTAGCTTTTGCACGCTACAGCAGCAGAGCTTAATATTTGAGACACAGACTATATGGCTCACAAACCCTGATCTATTTACACTCTGACCCTTTACAGAAAAAAGAACCCCTAACCTAGGTAAATCCTATAAACCATATAAATGTCTTTATATGAAATGTGTATACTGCCAGATATAGGGCTGTGTAATTTAAAACTTTGACTTCAGCTACTGTTGATCCTGGGCTTCCCTGGTGGCTCAATGGTAAAGAATCTGCCTGCCAATGCAGGAGATGCAAGAGACCTGGGTGGGAAAGATCCCCTGGAGGAGGAAATGGCAACTCAGGCCAGTATTCTTGCCTGGGAAATCCCATGGAGAGAGGAGCCAGGCGGGCAACAGTCCATGGGTTCACAAAAAGTCGGTCACTGCTTAGCAACTAAACAACAACTGTTTATCATAGTTTTGAAGGCCAGTTTTATTTTGAGCAAATCCAGTTTCCATGAGATTGGTAGTGTGGACTTTGGCATCGAAAGACCCGAGTTGTAATCTTATGAGCTCTATTATCTCCTAGTGGATTGCTGTTTTTGCTTACTTACAAAATTTCAAAGTACTGAACGGCTTTCTTGCCCGTCTTATCTCAGGGGTCAGAGGGCAGATGTCTCCTACACCTCGGCAGATACTGACAGGACCTATTAGGGACTGGGCAAGTCTACGCACGGCAGCACGCATTTGTATTCCCTTCTTGCAGCTCAGCGAACGAGACTAGGCTCTGAGGGACCAGCACGCCCTTTCTCCCGGTAAAACCCACATTCCAGTCACTCTCCCGGGACTTGTCCTCCGGTCCTACAGCTTCCGCTTGCGTTGCTCAGGTGACCTGAAGGGTCTGGGGCGAGGAGAGGCGGGGTCAGTCTCAGCAGCCAATCAGGGCTCGGCCCCTTGCCCAGCCAATGGGGTTTAGCCAATCCGGCCTGACGAGGAAGCCCTGGGACAGTGCTTGCACCTCTCGCTTCCAGCTTTGGGTGGTGCCACGTGGGGTTAGCTGGTTCCGGTCGTGGTCCTGGCTCGCTCGCTCGCTAACTCTCCGGGAAGCCCTCGGTGTGCCGTCCCGGAGGCCATGGGGCGGCAGTGGGGGCCCGCCATGAGGGCAGCAGAGCAGGCGGGCTGTGTAGTGAGCGCCTCCCGGGCAGGGCAGCCCGAGGCAGGCTCGTGGAGCTGCAGCGGGGTGATCCTAAACCGTCGCCCGGGCCTGGTGCTGTGCCATGGGGGCATCTTCACCCCCTTCCTGCGGGCCGGCAGCGGGGCGCTGACCGCGGCGAGCGCCGCCTTCCTGCCCGGCGACAGTTGCGGCGACGATCTGCGCCTGCACGTGCAGTGGGGCCCAACCGTCGCAAGTTCGGCAGGCCGCGCGGAGCGGGGTCGCCCGGGGTTGTGCACGCCCCAGTGCGCCGGCCTGGAGACCGGCCCGCCCGCCCGGCCCCGCGCACGGCCACTGCAACCCCCGCGCCCCGCCGAGCTTCTGCTGCTGTTGAGCTGCCCGGCCTTCCGGGGCCACTTCTCGCACCTCTTCGGCGGCGAGGAGGCCGAGCAGTGGCGCTTCGCAAACGCCGCACCGGGTGACGAGGTGTCGGAGGAGGAGGAAGAGGACCAGCTGAGAGCACTGGGGTGGTTCGCGCTGCTTCGCGTGAGGCCGGAGCCGGAGAAGGAGGTGGAAGAGCGAGGGCCGGTACTGGCCGTGGCTCCTCTCGGGGACGTGCCCAAGGGCGCACCGCTCCTGGCTTGCGGCTCCCCGTTCGGGGCCTTCTGCCCGGACATCTTTCTCAATACGCTCAGCCGCGGCGTGCTCAGCAACTCGGCCGGCCCGCTGCTGCTCACTGATGCCCGCTGCCTGCCCGGCACGGAGGGCGGAGGCGTGTTCGCATCGCGGCCCTCGGGGACGTTGGTGGCGCTGGTGGCTGCACCCCTCTGCTGGAAGGCCCGCGAGTGGGTGGGCCTCACGCTGCTCTGCGCCGCCGCCCCACTGCTCAGCGTCGCCCGAGACGCCCTCTGCCGCCTTCACCCCGACACTGCCGCCCTGGCCACCCTCCTACCGCCTGAGATGGGCGCCCCGTGGGGCCTGCCCCTCCGATACCGAGACCCCGGGCCCCCTTGGGCAGCTGCGGCCGTGCTGGTGGAGTGTGGTTCTGTCTGGGGCTCCGGAGTGGTGGTGGCACCCGGTCTCGTGGTGACCTGCCGGCATGTGGCCCCCCGGGAGACGGCCAGGGTCCTGGTGCGCTCTGCCACCCCCAAGTAAGGCCCTCAAGGTCGCCAGCACTCCACTCCCTCACCAGCTGTCAGGTCTAGATCCCAGGCCTCAGGTCATAATCCTGAGGATTACGAAGGCCTTCTGGTCTCAGGCTTATGCCTTGGTGGTGCACTATGTGTAGTGACCTGGGACCCTTCTCTCATCCTTGGTACTCAGAACCCCAGAGTAGGGAGTTTTGTGCCTCCTGGCAGAGAGTGAATGGGACTTGGGCAAGATGCCAAATAATTCTGGAGGTCTGTGGTGGTGTTCAGCATCCCTGGCTAAGCATCACTGAGCTCCCACTCCCAGTCTGAATTCCTTCTGGGCAACGGTGCTGTCTCAGCCTTGCACCCACACACCAGAGGTCCTTGAATGGAGCCTTCCTAACCCTGTTCTCTTTCCCCTGAATGCTGAGGGAAGTGCCAGGCGCCCAGGGTGCCACCCTCCTGGAGTAGGAGAGGAGCCTGTTACTCTTACTTGGTTTATCTCTTAGATCTTAACCAGAACATCCCTTCTGGATCAGAATGACAGATATGGGGTTCCACCTAATTAGAATGTTCGACATGTAAATCCATGGCTGATTCATGTCAATGTATGGCAAAAATCACTACAATATTGTAAAGTAATTAGCCTCCAACTAATAAAAATAAATGGGAAAAAAAAAAGAATGTTTGAGTGGGGCCCAGGCAAATAGGTATATTTTGAACAGTTGTGGGGTGGTCTTGGCTGCCAGTTTAGGACTTCAGACAGTCATTTGTCCCCTCTCTGCAAGGAATGCACTCTTGCTGTCGTGTAGTTTCAGTTGCTTTGACAGTGGAGTTGGCAGCTTTGGCTTCTTGGTTTGACTTTCTAATACATGTTCTTTCTGTTTCTTCTGTAACCCCAGGTGCTTTATCTAGGCCAAAGCAAAGCACTGTAGCACCTTGGTGTTAATGCTTGTTGTTCTCCTGTACGTAGTCTAACCCAACTTCTCAGCCCAGATCTTCCCAAATGCCTCTACTGAACTTCCAAGGTTAACCCAGCCTGGCTTTGCCATAGGAATCCCCTCTGACAATCAACAGCATGGCCATGACTGTATAGGGAAGACTGATGCTGAGAATTTTCCTCTGTGTGTGGTCCTCAATTCCTCCCCGCTCCCACCATCCTCCACCCCAACATACTCTGGTCCTAGGGAACCCACCAGGTCTACCGGAAGCTATTCCTGCAGTGTGTGTATCAGGCAGCCATGCATAATCTTGGGCAATGTGCTTAATCTGTCTAAGCTGCTTTCCCAGGAATTGACATATAAAGTCTTCTTACTGCCACATAATAAGAGCTGTAGAAGTGCTAGCATCTGTATAAACATGGACCCAGAGGATGAAATTGTATCATGTCTGTCCCACTAAATGAGAGGATTGTTATCAAATGAGGCAGAAAAGGAAGACCCTGGGAAAATCAGCCCTGGCTCTTCCCACTAACTGTGTGACTGTGAGATATATTTATTTACTCAACCTCTCTGGGCCTCAAAAGCACCATCTGAAATGGAGATAATACCAGTGCCTAGTTCATGGAGCTGCTCTGAGAACTAAATGAAATGATGTCCATAGAACATTAATACTAGGCCTGGCCCACAGTGCTCCCTGGGTGCTGGGTGTCTGTGGTCATGATAACGTGCAAGAATCTGTATGTAGAGGTACTCTGCACTTGGTAAAGTGTGTTTGGAAATTCCACAGAACAGCTAAGCGATGTGCCCAGGGTTGCTTGCGGGTATGTTCCAGGGCTGACCCCAAATCTTTTGAGTCCCAAGTTCATGATTTTTACTGTTACTCATTATTTTGCTTCCACTCAGTGCTAAAGGTTGGGAGAGCTAACCTGTCATTTTGTTTGTCTTGTATCCAGGAGTGCCTTAATCTGGGGACATGTGGTGTTTGCCACCCAGGAGACGTCTCCCTATGACATAGCAGTTGTGAGCCTGGAGGAGGACCTAGATGGTGTCCCTATACCTGTGCCTGCTGAGCATTTCCATGAAGGTAATGAACAAAGTGTCCCTTTGGTCTGGAAAGGACCTTGGAAAATCGGTGTTGGGCACCTACAGATCAGGGACCAGCCCCCCAGGTCAGCTTCCTTCCCCACCCATGTTGGAGTAACGAGTCAAGCTGGCACCTTGTTGCATCCTGGTTACAGTGCTTTGGCTGGAGTTGCTCTTAGAGGCCTCCCTGCTGTGCTCAGCATGCCCATGGTGCTGGGGGGCAGGTGGAATTCCCAGTGAAAGGTAAAGCATGTCTTTTTCCTGAGGCCCTGCAGCAGTGTAGCGTGGAGGTGCTGAACCTTGAGGAGGACTCATAACACTGCAGGCTGCTCTGTGAGGCTCCAGTGGCATGATTTGAGTAAAAGGCCTTGTGATGCTGCCACAGAAGTACCAGATGTTCTGGTTTGTGGATGTGATTTGTTATAACGTAACAAGGATTATGAGCTCACTGCATTGGCATCTCTTCTGCCACTTACTAGCCCTGTGTCCTTGGACAGGCAACTTAATATTCTTTGTCTTGGTTTCCACATTTGTAAAATGGGGATAATGCTACTTACTCCTAGGTCTTGTGAGGACTGGGTAAGATAGTGCCTGTAAAGCACTTGGTGAAGGACGGTGGTGCCCATTTTGTAGTCATTGTCAGCATTTTATTTTCACCAATAGACTTTTTAGTCCCAGGACTTGGGTGTTAATTCCACAAACATGTGTTGAGCCCCTGGCTAGATGCTAGGAATCTTAAAAAGTGACTACCCAGTCCAGAAGGGGAATGAGGGCTGAAGAGAAACGATGGAGCAGATACAGTGCTGGGAGCTCAGTGGAGGTCCTGACCTCTTTCTGTAGGGGCCTGGGGAAAGTTCTCATGGGGGCAACAGGCATCTGAGCAGAAACTAGAAAGGCAGACAAGGTTTGGAAATTTGGAGAGGACCGGCGTGGGGGCGTGGCGAGTGTGTGAGTCCTGCCAGACAGAGGAGGCTCCCCAGCTTAACCCTCCTTCCTTCCCTGGCAGGCGAGGCGGTCAGTGTAGTGGGCTTCGGTGTCTTCGGCCAGGCTTGTGGGCCCTCGGTGACCTCGGGCATCCTGTCGGCTGTGGTGCAGGTGGATGACACACCGGTGATGCTGCAGACCACGTGTGCCGTGCATGGTGGCTCCAGCGGGGGACCTCTCTTCTCTGCCTGCTCCGGGGACCTCCTGGGTAACCAGCTCCTTGCCCCTCTCCCAGCCTTCCCCTGGCCAGAGCCTCAGTCCCGCCCATGAGTGCTCAGGGGCCAGGCCTGGGAGCCACCCGCTGTCTGCAAAGATGATGGGCCTTATGCCCAGGGGTAATTAGCCAAGGTTTTTGGGCTGTTGTGCTTCTGGGGTCGGAAAGGATGGATGCTGGGCTTGGAGGGAAGAGATCTGAGTTCTGGTCCTTTCTCCGCCACTGAGGCACTCCATGACCTTAGGTAAGTCACTTAATATCATTTGATCTGCGAAACTCAGTAGTTGGATGAGTTCAAGGGTCAACAAACTGAAAAGCCTACAGAGTTTGGGCAGGTAAAGTGAAAGAGTGAATGAATGAGTGAGTGAGTGAGTGAATATCTTCAGTGAGTGGAGGGCAAAGGAGAAACGGGGTGAATACCACTCAACTCTAGCACATTCTTGCCTCGTTACAAAGATATGTGTGCCTAAAACTGGCTGACTTTACAGTTTTTCACAAGAAAGTGTGAACTCTTTTTTTTTTTTAATAAATGTGTATGTTAAATCTTTCAACTTAAAAATTTTGTTAACTCAAGTTGTTTTTTTTTTTTTAATCTGTTTATCTGTTTAGAAAAAAGCCAACCATGAGTCTATATGGATACCTCCACCTGCAGTCCAGCACACAGGCTTCATGCAAGCCTTCCCTTTCCCCTACTTCTGACTGCTTTCTCCCACAGTGAGAAACATTGCCTTTCTATTGCTAGCTGCAGTGGATTTATTTATTTCTTCAACTGTAGTGTACAAAAAAAGTACTTTCAGAATTCCTCACCGCATCCCTGTGAGAAACAGATTTACCAACTAGAAGACAATATTTGAGCGAGTACCATTCTTTAGCCTTAAAGTGTCCAGTCAGAAGGCTGTTTGCCAAAGTTTCTTAGATTAGCTCCTTCCCCTTCAGAATGGTTATGTGATTCATTTGAAATACAGTTAGGTACATTCATCCTAGTCTGCTTTTCATCTTTCTCCCATATACTGGTTGACCTTCTAAAAGATGTATACAGATAAATGGATACAGAGATGAATATAAATGTGTGTATGCATGAGTTTGTGTGTGTGTGTGTATGTACATAGGTCTCTTCTCTCAGCTGCTGAGAGGGGCTAGAAGCCAGTGACTCTCAGTTGCAATGAACATGCTGAGAGTCCAGGTCTTGGTTTCTAAGAGTCGTTCTCTAATGAAAAGCACCAGGAACTGACTGATTCCAGGGCTGCTTTGTGGTGCTGGAAAGGAAGGAAACTCTTAAGAAAAAAAAAATGATGAGCATGTCAAATGTTGAAAAACCCACGAGCTGATGTGAAGGAGCTCCTGTTGGAACAATTTGAGCAACAAAACAAATAGCAGTAGTATTGAATTGTAACCCAAGAAAAGAATGAATACTCGTGAGTCTATACTAATATAAGTTAATGTTGAATGAATTTAAAAATGGAGACAAAGTATAGCTTTCCCTTATGGAAGAATTTCTATTAATAAATGTAGAAGAAATGAGGCTCAGTAGTTGTAGCACATGGGCCTAGTTACCCCATAGCATAGGGGATCTTCCCAGACCAGGGATCGAACTGGTGTCCCTTGTTTTGTAAGCCAGATTTTTAACCACTGGACTACCGGACACGCCCTATCACCTCAGTCTTAATTGTGAGAAAACATCAGGTCAACCCAAATTGAGGGACATTCTACGGAATAACTGGCCTGTACTCTTCAAAGTGTCAAGGCTGTGAAAGATAAAGAGAGACTGGAAGTGACTCAGATAGGAGGAGACCTAGGAGACATGATGACTAAATGCTATGTGAGATCCTGGATCAGAAAAACAGCATTAGTGCAAACCCTGGTCCATCCAAGTGAGTTCTGTACTTTAGTTAATAGCATTTCATGAAGCTTAATTTCTTGATTTTGATCAATGTGGTGTGGTGACATAAGGAAAAGCTGGGTGCAGGATGTGCAGGAACTCTACTATTTGGGCAAGACTTCTGTAAGCCTAAAATTGCCTTCAAAAGATTCATACACATGCACTGAGCCGGCCCCCCAAGTTTTATGTGTGAGTCTGATTCATTTATTCATTCACTCAACAAGTACGTGTTGAGGTCCCACTCTGCCAGGCACTCTTCCAGGTCCTGGGGAGATTATGAACAAAACACAGCAGCCTGGCCCTCATGGAGCTGAAAGATAACAGAAGTTGGTGAGAAAAATAACAAAATAAGTGAGACATAGTGTGTCAGATACTGATAGTGTTAGGGAGAAAGTAAAGCCGGGAAGGAGGACTGGGGCGTGAGGGGCCTATGTCGAAGCCTGGTGTCTGTCACCATGAGGGGTATTCAGCAACCGCTCCCCCGCCACAGGCCTAGGGCCTCCAGGGTAGAGGTGGGCCTCCCTCCCTTCCCTGCGCCTTGGCTCATACCTTCTTTTCCTCTCTGTCTCCTGAACAGGCATCGTCGCCAGCAACACCCGGGACAATAACACGGGGGCCACGTACCCCCACCTGAACTTCAGCGTCCCCATCACGGTGCTCCAGCCGGCCCTGCAGCAGTACAGCCAGACGGGCGACCTGGGCGGCCTCCGCCAGCTGGACCGCGCCTCCGTGCCAGTGAGGGTGGTGTGGCGGCTGCAGCGGCCCCCAGCGGAGGCCCTGCGGAGCAAGCTCTGAAGCTGTGTCACCCCTCTGCGGGGGAGAGCAGCCCTTTGATGCCGTGGGGAGTGCTGAGGCTGGCGGCCTCAGGATCCAGACGGGACCCACCAGAGCCCAGTTGTCTCCCCTTCACTACCCACCTTGCTCAGCTCTGGAGTCTGGACCACACTTCTCTTTAGCCTCCAGGGATCTCTTACTGGGCAGCCCGTTTGGGGGTGCTTTCTCTCTCTGCCCCTGACAGTAGACTCAGTTCTGTTCCTTCCCTTCAGGGGAGCCCAGGACAGCTGTACAACAGCCCTGATCCTGACAGACAGATGCTGGCTGGAAGGCAAGCCCAGTCCTGGTTTCAAGTCTGTCCCCTGTCACCCGATGATCACTGGCCACCTGGAGCAGCATCTTCCCTGGGGCCTTGGCTCCTCTCTGCCCTCGGTCAGAATGGGGCTGATAGAGCACTGGGGCTTCCTCGGAAAACCTCAGCAGAGGGGCTCTGCTCCAAAGACCGGAGGTGCAAGAAAAAGAGCATCGTCCTGTTCCGTGGACCAGCAGTGGCACCCCTGAAAGCCAGGACTCCCGGCTTTTCATATGTCAGGTGCCCTGACCTCTGGGGCACTCAGACACAGTGCCTTAGTTTTCCAGCCCGTGAAATGGGCCTCAGGGATCTGGGGTGGGGTGGAGGGGTGGAATGTGTCTTGCTGGGCTGTCTGGTTGGGGTTCAGGAATAAACAGGACCCCCAAGGGATGGGTCCTTATATGTCAGATTCTTTTTTCTTTCTTTGTTTCAAGAGTTGAATGGGGAATAGGAAAGCTCCAGGCACAGAAGTACACACTTTCTGTCCTGCTGTCTCAGTGGGGTTTGATCTCACAGGACACTCTTGTGTCAGACTAGTCCTAGTAGCTGGTTGTAGTGCCAGTCAGCCCTGGATGGGCTTGCAGACCTGGGTCAGTAGTGGTCTTGGCCTGGTAGCAGATGTTTACAGGGTGCCTAGCTGTGCCAGGCCCAGGGATGGGCAGGCGTTGGGGAGTTCAAAGCTGAACAAGGCCACGGTGGCCCCTAGGAGCTAAGACCAACCCCTGAGGTCAGGAACATGTACTGCATGCCCAGGGCCTTGTGTGCGCCAGCCATCAGGAAATAATTGTTAAATCATTGACAGGTTGAATGCGATTTGGGAACAAATAGGGCAGGAGTGAAATGGGGTGGGGCTCTAATCTAAGTGGAGAGAATTGCTCTGAGTACTTTGTTTCAATATCTGTTGAATGCCAGCTCTGGGCAACCACAGAACACTCCTGAGACAGTCATTCTCTGTGTGGATTAGGAATGGGGCCAGAGGGCAAATGTTTCAACAGCTTGAATGAAAGCCTTCAGTGAATTAACAGGGTGGCAAGGGTGGGCTGGGGTCTGACTTGGCTGCGAGTGGGAGGGGAGAGGATTTATTCCAGCATGTGTGGGTGCCAAGGAGCTCAGGCTATGCTGGGGAGATGGTGTGTGCCGCCCCAACCACCACCCCAATTAGTGGAGCAAGCAGGGCCTCTCTGCCCTGTTCAGTTGGAAGACCGTGTCCAGGGGCCCCAAGGACGGAGGATCAAGCAAGGGTTCATCCAGGTGACTCATGAGTTGAACCCTGAGGGGAGACTAGGTGTTTACCAGACGGGCTGCAAACAGGGAGGGTGTCCAGGCTGAGGGCAGCAGGGGCTGGGACAAGGAATTGTGGAACCACACATATGTCTTACCATGCTTAATGCAGAAAAGATTGGAATGGAGGCTAGGGAACCAGTGACAATGGCCCTGGTGAGGGGAAGACGGCTGAGGCAGGCCTGGTGGGCGTGGAGAAGCTCCAGCGTGACACAGGAAGTGGGCTTGGCTGGATGTGGGGCGATGCAGAGAGCGAGAAGGGTCAAGCAGTGCTGGGTCTCTGGCCAGGATAGTGATGAGCAGCTGGCAAGTTTAGGGACAAGATGTTTCCCTGGGGTGTCTGTAGGACCTCAAGTGGAGAGCAGAGCAGGCTGTTGAGTAAGTCCTATGAGTTAGGATAATGCAGGAAAAGGTCCCCTCCCCCAGCTCAGTGGCTAAAGACAATAGAAGTTTGTTTATTGCTCATAGAAAGTCCAAAGTCATGCACCTGACCAGGAGGGTTCGGGGGGTAGCTGCCATGAATTTGGGGTTAAGGGACCCAAACTCCTTCCCTCCTACAGCTCTATCACTGGGTCTTGGACCTCAGACTCTAGCAGGTCCTCTGTATCCTGCTAGTGGATGGGGCAAGAGAGAGTGAAGAAGATATCCGGCTTCTTTAAAAAAAAATTTTTTTTTTTCTTTTGAAACAGTTTCAGACTTACAGAAGAGTAGCAAGATTCCCGACACACCCTTCCCCCAGATACCCCTTATCGCCTGTGCCAAATGCCCCAGTGATGTTCTCTGTGACAAAAAGACCTCATCTGGGACCATGAATTGTACCCACTTGCCATGGCTCTCTCCCCACCTTGACGTGGGGCAGCTCCTAAGTCTTTCCTTGAGTTTGATGCCCTTGACCTTCTGAAGTTATTTTGTAGAACGTGTCTTAATGTGGGTTTGTCCTTACTTCCACATGATTAGATTCAGGATGTACATCTTTGGGATATCACATTAGTGATGTCATTGTTTCCTACTGGGTGTCACATGATCTTTATTTGTCAAATTACAGATGATAATATCTATCCTTTGACTAAGATGATGCCTGCTAGGTTTCTCCATTATAAATTTTCTTTTTTCTTTGTAATTAATAGATATTTGCATGGGAATATTTGAAGACTATGTAAAAATATTGTTCCTCACCCAGTTTCATCTACTATGCTTATCACCTACTGATGTCCCTTGACTAAATAACTTTAATGTTTACCAAATGGTAATCTTTTGTTTTCATTTTCCCTCCTACATTTATTTGTTGGCATTCTATTGAAGTAAAAGCTTTCCCTTCTCTCTGTTTAACTATGTTTTTGTAGAATCATGGATTTGTATTTTAATCAGTGGATTATAATCTATTATTGTCATTATTTTGATGCTCAAATTGTCCCTATTGGCTGGTGGGAACTCCCTCAAACTAACTTCTGTGTTCTTTTGGCCTCTCCTCATCATTTTTTTTTTTTAAATTAATTTAGTTGGCTGTGCTAGGTCTTACTTGTGGCATATGAACACTTAGTTGTGGCATGTGGGATCTAGTTCCCTGACCAGGGATTAATCTTCGGCCCCCTGCAGTGGGAACAAGAAGTCTTAACCAGTGGACCACCAAGGAAGTCCCCTCTCCATCATTCTTGGAGAACTTCCTTCAAAACATAATGTTCTAGACTCACCGTGTACTTTCCCTGGAATCAGTCACTTCTCTAGGGTCCTTTTTCATTAGAGAGTGGTATTTAGAAACAAATATCTAGGTACTAGGTGTGCTTCTCCCTTAGGTGTTGCTGCTCCCAGGCCCTCTCAGTAGACAGAACTTACATCTGTATTTATTTCTGTCTCTATACATTGTAAGCCACGAGTTAACACCGACAGTTGCAGTTTGAAACGACAAGCTCAATACCACAAGGTTCATTCTAGCTGTTCCTTTTTCATATTGGTACCTCTCTCCTTTCAGTGAGAAACACAGCTCCGTTATCCTCAATATATTGACTTGTTTGTTCCACCCCCTGCATGTAGCCAGTCTTCTGACCCCATCAGGCTGTCCCTGCCACTCTGCTCTGATGCTGCTCTTAAACAGGCCACCATTACTGCTTTGCACAAGCCTGCCTCGTGATTTTTTGACTTCATTAGTAAAATGGGAAGAAAGTCGCCCTCACTTCTTAACTGCTTCAGCCCAGAAGTGACATTATAATCACTCCTGCTCACATTCCTTCCATGAGAATCTGGCCCCAGCCAGCAGCAGAGTGGTGTGGGGGAGATGGGCACTGTAGTCCCTGGCTGGCAGATGCTCCTCGGCGGGCCCCCTGTGCCACAGAAGGGGAGAACGACCTTTGTGGAGAGCTGGCTGGCCCTGCCAAGCTGCGTCTTGTTTTAGTGCTGCTTTAGGAACAAAGACTCCCTCACATTACCGAAATAAAAGTCGGTTTAGTGTTAGACGCTCCGGCACAGGTGCTGGAAAGCTGCTTGACCTGGGGAAGCTCTAGGGCCCACTCGGTATGAGTGATGACTCAGCATCCCTCTCTGCTCTGTTTCCTCTCTTCTGGCCTTCTGGGCACTGAGTCTCTCCTCCCGTGTTAGTACAATTTGGTCTTTATCGCCCTTCTCTCCATGACCTTTTACCTCTAGATTTCCTTGTCACATGCCCCATCATCAGATTTACTCAATAAATGTCCAAGAGAGCAAATAGCTGCTTGAGCCCATAATTTTCTCATCTGGGACTGCTCTGGGAGCAGATGCAGTGAAGAGCCTGGGGCTACCAGTGTTTAAGAGCAGGAACCTGCAGGAGCCTGAGAAAGGACAACAAGAATCACAGGAAGTAAACCAGGGAGGCTAAGACTTGGCCAGCAGGGCAGACACCGGGGTCTGTTTCCTCTCTTCTTTCCGCCGGTACACTGGCGGCGTCTCCTGGCCATCCCCACAGTCAGGTGTGTCCGTGAGTTCCAAAGCACAGAAGGGAGGGACACCGCTGCCAGGCCCGACATTTTCTGTGCCCTTACCCCAGCCGCTGGGAGTGGAGACGCCCCTTAAAAGACACCTTGGCGGCCACTTGGTGAAGACAGCCCCTTTAGCTTGTCCCTGGATGATGGTGTGGAGTGGGCAGCCTCACTAACCAGTCCACTGGCCTGGTACTGAAGCCCAGGCAAGTAATGCACTTCTGTTGTATTTGAGCCATTAGACTGGGGGATCTGCTTGTCACAGTGGTAGACCCTAGCTTCATTAATATAGCCTTCCCCTAGCTGTGAGCACTCTGCCAAACCGCATTTCGAGGGAGAGAAGAAACTGGGGGATTCCCCCCGTCGTTTGAGGGCTGTGAATTTCACTAAAACTAACCAGGTTCTTCAGATAAAGTTAAGAGTTGTCCCTTCCTCAAGTG